TTTTTTTATCTGCCCCTCTAACGTCACACAATCTTGGACGCAACTGTTCTCGACACGACTAATCATGCCCCCACCTAATACGCCATTTTGTAACTTGTAACACCTAATACGAAATTTTGACATAATGACAGTATTCTGCTAGTGTAGTCCTATTATTTGATACCCATATTGTGGTGGTTGTGGAAAAATATGTACCTAGTCCGCCATATTGGAACGGCGTCCATCTTGAATTTTAAATTTTGACATAATCATCGTGTTTTACTAGTGTAGCCCTTTCATTTGATACCCATATTGAGGGGTTTAAGGAAAAATATGTAATCCGCCATTTTGTATCGGCGGCCATCTTAGATTTATAATGTCATTGATTTTATTATATTGTATTGTCATCTAAATTAAATGTGTGTACCAAATTTCAGATCAATCTGACAACGGGAAGGTGCTTAAATTTCAATTTCTAATTTTGACCCAAATAAATAAAAAACAAATTCCGTACAGGTCGAGCTAAATAAAACCGTTTAATAAGACATGACTTAAAGGTCTTAGTTACCAGGTCATAAAATACCTAAAAAAAAAAAGTGTGATACAAACAAACACACCTACCGCAACGCCTATCAACAATATAACACATATATTATGCACGTTACGTTTTAGCATATATTATTATGTTATGCTTTTTTTGTTTTTTAATACAAAATCTATTTTCCGTAAATACTGTTTAAGAATGAAGTCACTTCTGAAATAAATTACCATATTTGAATTACTTTGTACGCGTTTTACATAGTTAGGTTGCCGAAAAATACTATTTTTTGTGTTTCAAAAAATAACTGATGTAGAAACATTATTAATTACTCAAACTAATTTACTGGTGGTAAATTTACTGGTGGTAGGACCTCTTGTGAGTCCGCACGGGTAGGTACCACCACCCTGCCTATTTCTGCCGTGAAGCAGTAATGCGTTTCGGTTTGAAGGGTGGGGCAGCCGTTGTAACTATAATTGAGACCTTAGAACTTATATCTCAAGGTGGGTGGCGCATTTACGTTGTAGATGTCTATGGGCTCCAGTAACCACTTAATACCAGATGGGCTGTGAGCTCGTCCACTCATCTAAGCAATAAAAAAAAAATACCGAAATCAACATTACGAATAGATACGCTTTAACTTTGAATACGCAGACTTAAATAAACAAAAAAATACATATGATCTGTAATAGTTATATTATTATCGCTGTTTTTTTTAAAATATTTTTATGAGAATTAGGCCTTTTTAAAGTATAACGAATGATCGTTTTCTTCGCCCTCTGTTTATCCACCGAATTTTTTTTATGACGAAACAGTAGAACTAGAAACAAATAGACATGGTAATATGTATTCTTTTTTAATTTATTTATCAAAACTTAAAATAGGCTCCTTTTGGATGGGAATGTTTCTTTTATTGGTTGATTTCAAGATTTTGAATCTGATATATTTCAATTCTAGTTGCATTTTATCTATCGTACTATACTCGGAAACGTTGAAGGCTTTAAGATAGTTGATATCAATAGAGCTTTAAAAGCCTATTCTTGACAGAGAAACCACTAAACTTTAATCTTAATTAACCTTCGTGACTGACTTCGTGAATTTGTCGGTTCGCGTCCTAAGTATGTATGTATTTATGTATAGCAGTTCTTTATACTTCGGTATTGCTTGGCAAAACTTAAATATGCGACAGGAGTCACGCAGGGATAAAGCTTATTCTTCACACAGAAATCACTAAACACTTTAATCTTAATTAATCTTCGTGACTGACTTCGTGAGTTTGTCGATTCCTGTCCTAAGTATGTACAATACGACCGATGTATCTTGGCGAGTCCGAACTTCGCGCAGAAGGCTGCGCACAAACGTTTTTAGGAACCAAATGGTGGCATGACCGACGTGCGCGGGGCGGAGGTCTAGGCTAGGGATTGACTCTGTGTAAACACAATCGTCCCTTTATTCAATCAAATATCGCAATCGATTTTTATCGATTTAGAATTTATTGATTTTTNACAAACGTTTTTAGGAACCAAATGGTGGCATGACCGACGTGCGCGGGGCGGAGGTCTAGGCTAGGGATTGACTCTGTGTAAACACAATCGTCCCTTTATTCAATCAAATATCGCAATCGATTTTTATCGATTTAGAATTTATTGATTTTTGTTTTTATGAGATACTGAACGAAATAGATTTACAAACTTATTGAATGTTGTCGTTAGTAAACGAGACTTCATCTTTAATAAAAAAAAAAACTAATAACACTTTATTTTCTTGGTTGAAAGACATGATTTAGTTGAATATCAGCTATTTATAAACAACTACTACAATAGGGACTGTTTGTGAATATTTTAAACCTCCTATAAAATGGAATATAAATATATATTTTTATTTAAATTTTAATCAATTTGAAAAAAAATCGATTGAACAACATCCTCAAACACGCATATTGGACATCCCTTTTCTTGACATCGTATGAATTCGGTAATTCTCGGTACGCGGTATGTGTCTCACTCACACGCTAGCATTAGTGTCGTGTTCGCGTCGCTATCTCTGTCTGGAATACGGGCGGCTACAAAAGTTTTCATTGATTTGTTATTATTAAACTGTTTTTGTTTAGTGCTCAGTTTTTTGTTTAGTTTTAAGATTGTTTGTGTTTAAATTTGTTTTAGTATTAAGTGTCCCTTGGCATTTATACTATTCGTTAAACCAAAGCATAATAGTGTTTTAAATCGTCGGCCGACAAACATAATTATTGATTTTTTTTTAAAAAGAAAAAGAAGAAGGCTTAAAAGATGTTGACAGTTTTATTTAGAGTTGCTAACGCAACTGGTGTATCGCAACGCACAGTACAGCGGATCGCAACTGAAGGCAGTGTTCGGGCTTACTTTCGAATTAATTTAATTACGTTATTTTTACAGCTTTCTGTCATAATTTATTATTCTTTTATTATCTCTCTTTAATTTATTACGTTATTTTTATAGCTTTCTGTCTCATAGTGTTTTGATATTCATTTTATTTGTACTTGGTACCTGTATAATTAGGGACATTTTAAATCGTATTTTGATTTAAAAAAATTAATACTAATAACACTTTTTTTTACGAGTATACATGCGCGAAAGTTCACCTGCGGCTATATTCAGACTCGCCAAGTTACGTCGGTCGTATTGTATGTATAGCAGTTTTTGGTAATTCGGTATTGTTGGTAAAACTTTAATATGCGACAGGCGTCACGCGGAGAATTTCATTAAAAACGAAAATTTCAATCAACTATAAAATCAATTTATATATGAGTCGTCTATTATCAAAGGTGGCAATCTGTGCATTTGGACAAAAAAATTTTATTGATATGTCAATACAGATTGATTTGAATATAATCGTCTCCTTCAGAGAATACGGTTCAAAACCTGCATTAAATAAAGGTTAATAGTTAACCTGTTATTTATCTAAGATGTCGTTCCGAAGAGTTTTGTCACTGCCAATGGAATACAAAGTCAATAATTCGTTTTTCTGATTTACCAATCATTGTCCAAAAGTCAGATTGCCGGCTTTGATAATAGTCGACTCATATTAAGTATGCATTACCTCTAGAATACAAGAAGTATGGGCTATCCGGTAAAAACAGCATTGGTACGGTTACGATCAAAGCGAAGCAAGTGTAAATAATGTTAAGATGAAGATACGATACAAAAGGCCCGATACACATCATGAGCACCACGCCTATGGAGCACAGGATCTGAAGTATTGTACCCAAGGCCCCTCTTATCTCTTTCTGGAATTAAATTTAAAAGCATTGTAATATAACGAAATTACATTTAACAGCAGCTCCACACGTTGGCCCCAACATAAACCACAATGACACTCGCCCAACGTGTGGATTTAGAAACTAGCATTGGCCCTAATGTTGGAGCGAACGTTGGTAGTTGGCCATAAAGTGTCGGTTTTAACAAAGGAATCTGTGCCAACGTTCGCGATCCGTCCAGATGTCTTTGCTCAGACCTGTTGCAACACGCGTCGAGTGGGCATATCGCGATGTCTTCATCAACAAAATCGCCACCCACATGGAACATCTCCTTTAACGTAGCTTTTTCTTTTTTTTTTTCAATAACAAATATAAATTATACGCATTCAGTACTGTAAAAGCGCTTAGAGCAATTTCAATTTCTCTCTCTGTCGGAAAGGAACTAGTATAACAACCACGTGTGGATACTTCACCAATCTAACCGCTTAACGTTGGTAGCAACGTTGGGGCCAACGTGTGGAGCCGGTGTAATACGGTCCGGTCTGAATGTATCATAGATCTATGGCAAGGGTTCAATTCAGCTAAGATTTCGAATTAATTGCTTTAAGTAAAGCATTCTTGTTGTGTGTTTTCTGATGACCATGGCTGATTGGTTGTACCATGAGCTCGCTCGGATAGGTACCAAATGGGAATTAGGGTTAGGAACTGCTGTGATACAACGCAATTGAAACTATGATCTGATTCGTGAAAATAATGACATTAACACCATGGTATTTTTGTTTTTGACTGATTTTTTTTATTGCTTAGATGGGTGGACGAGCTCACAGCCCACCTGATGTTAAGTTGTTACTGGAGCACATAGACATCTACAACGTAAATGCGCTAACCACCTTGAGATATAAGTTCTAAGGTCTCAGTATAGTTACAACGGCTGTCCCACCTTCCAAACCGAAACGCATTACTGCTTCACGGCAGAAATAGGCGGGGCGGTGGTACCTACCCGTGCGGACTCACAAGAGGTTCTACCACCAGTAAACATTTCCTAAAACTTACATTCAATTTATTAAAAAAAAAAACTTACGCTAGCAATTTCTGAAGCATACATTGGAACGGTATTAAATGCGTAAATATCAGAAATCCCGAGGATAGCTCTACCAAGCAATAGCATCCAGACTTCGCTCGCGAAGATGTACAGGAAACCGACAAGTATCTTCGGGAGGCATGAGATTATGATGCAAGACTTTCTACCGATGCGATCAACCAGATATGCTGCCACAAGATGTTCTGGAATTTAAAATATTGTTGTCGAACGAAGGATCTAGGACGCTAGAAAAGTACAACGCCATCTATTTACAGCTAGCGGAAACTACTAAGTAATAGAGATGTGTAGAATATTCTCGATAATTCTAGTGATGAGGTATCAGCTAAAAAAGCGTTATAGGGATGGCACGCAGTCAGTCAGTCAGTAATCGGAACTACTCGAAGCGAAACAGCGAACGGATCACCTGAAGCGAAGCGGAACAATCGAATTAAAAATGTTTAAAGTACTTGTTGAGTGTTTTAAGTGTTCTAACTGTTGAATACAGTTTTTATGTTGTACTTCGGTGAAATTTTATTTATCCCGAACCCCAGCGCGTAACAATATTGTAATAAGTTTCGCTACTTACTCGAGGATGCTTGAGGACCTGACAAGAGATCGGTCTGTCCCGTAACGGGCATATTAGCGTAACCGATCGATGCCTACACGGGTCTTTGCTCTCCAAGCTTCCTCTATGGCCGAAGGACCTACTGGTAGCATTCCCAACTAATGTGATACCTACAGGACATTTAATAATCATGTCACTGCCAAAAAAACTTCACTCACGCGAAAGTCCAGTCAAAAAACCAATGGAAACAATCCAGGATCCTTGCTCCTCTGTCATCGGTGATGGCAGGATGGTTTCCGTGCTGTTTCTCAGTTTCACGAAAACCGGAGACGGCCATGCTAGCCCCAGGCCGGTGACCAAAACGCTCAAGTTTACTGTAAAAGTTAAAAAAAGATAGTACTTGACTTGAACAAATTGCTTTTTTTTTTATTTCTAAGTCGTCCTCCCAGGACGAGCTCACGGCCCACCTGGTGCTATAGAGGTCACCGGAGCCCATATAAATTAACCACGTTAATGCCGCCGGCCACCTTGAAACATGAGTCCTAAGTCTCAATACAATACAGTACAAGTACTGCCCCAGCTTTCGAACCGAAACGCATTACTGCTTCACGACAGAAATAGGCAGAGTGGTGGTATCAACCTATGTGGGCTCACAAGATCACCCTCCCACCAATAAAGACCCTCCCTCATTAACAAATACCTAGAATAAAGATCCAGATATAAATGACGACTTGAACTGAGTCACCGTGTACAGAAATGTCTGCGGGAAGAGGCTAATAAGCTGATTAGGGTCATTGATAGATAAAAGAGAATCCAATAGTTCAGATACAGAAGCGAGTTCGTAATTCTTCTTCTCGATTCGGTTTCCTCAATATTGAGGGTCATGACCACCTCCTCTAAACAAGAGTCCGTTCCGGATCATTCCACGCCATTTGCTCCTATCTACCGCCGAGTGTAGAGCATCGCGAGCTGTGGTGTCAAGGGTTGCACGGATCTAGTCATTCCAACTTGTCAGTTCGTAATACGCTGGTGTTAAACCAAGAATTTTGTGATGTGGTTAATCCACTGGTAATCAATATAATGTGAACACGTAAAACAAAAAATAAACAAATTTACCAACACTGTTCCAATGATTATTATTTTAAGCAACAGGAATACAATCTCGAAGCAATCTCGATGCGTTAGATACAGTGCACAAGCGACCCAATCTACGCAAATTGACATACAAACTACAATAGAACACTTTATTTTGGGCCGGTCATTTGGCGGCAAAATCATGTACATCCTGTTAATATTCTCGTTGGTTTAACTCATTGTGGCTTCATTCAGTCGACTAAACCTACATAAATTGACTATAATTGGACATGACAACAAGTATTGACAACAAATTCTATTGACATAATATGTACACAGATAAAGTCGGTGATAAAATCGATAAAACGCAACCATAACTTTTAAATAACTTAAAGTCATATCAAACAGTCAAAGACGGTTCTTCGAAATATGTATGTACGCAGTACGCAGGAAAATAGAGAATAAAAATACCGTGGAGACGAATAAATAATATGATGATACCAATTTTTTTTCTGTGAATTTCTAAGGTCTAAGTCAATCAGTAATTGCCAACAGCTATTGAGATCAAATCGCGATTCCTATCACGACCTTTAGACCTGAGGTTCGAAGTATCCATTATATTGTATTTATATTAAAATGGAACGCATGATAGATGCACCGACAAAAACTATGCTTACATTTTTATTATAGCGTTTTTAACATATATAATTTTAATGCTAAAAAAACTATTACGTCAACTATGCATAATTATTTGAAACAGAATAATAACAATAGCAGTTACTAATATAAATTCTCTCAGCAACCACGGCAACGTGATTGCTATTTATAAAAATATATTTAAATGAGATTGTATATTAATATTTGGTTCCCATACTACAGAGAATCAGATATTTGGTTCCCATGGTCTGGGTCAGATGACCTTGTGTGACTTGTCCCCAGTTATTACTATTATTTGGAAGATGCAACTACATTCAGATCTCAGTGATTTTAGGTGGAAGGGATTTCTGGCGGCCCGGAGCCCTTTCTAGTTTCACCAAGACCGGTAGGCGAGCATAGGCTAAGCTAGGAGGGAGATCAGCCACGATAGGGAACCGCAATGAAGATTAACGATTATATTTTGCAAAGCATAAACTTTTTACCCTTCCTTGTCTATATATATACGAAGTTGCATCTTTTGTTAAAGCTTGTCCCAATAGATTCACCAAGATGTCTAATGTGGCAAATAGAAATCGACGCGACGATAAGCTATGTTTTCCAAAATCCAAAACTACATTAAAGACTAATAGTATACTAGGTATGAGCGTTAGGATATTTAATAAACTACCAAAGAAATTAAGAGACTTTAAGATCATTTTAAGAAAAAACTAAGAGATAATCTTATTAGTGAAAGCTATTATCACATAAATGATTTTCATAGGGACGACATTGAAAATAAATGGAATTTTTAATTATTAGTTGAATTATGGATGAATGAATGGTAAATTATATAATATTATAATATCTTGCACTGCACTAAAATTCGCATGTCAAATAATGACAAAGCATACACGCTGCTTTTAACTTTAGGTAACAACTTATTTTCACTATGCTTGGCGAATAAATGATTTCTTTCTTCTTTCTTTCTTCTTCTTCTTCTATGATCGATTCTATAAAGTGTTATTCATAAATCGATATAATCATTGATCTAGAGGTTTATGGACCCCACTACCTCACCACGGGGACCGACTTCGATTACCGGTCCTAATCATTCTTTATCTTTCGAGAGATATTTGATTTCGTGTCTGAGTCTATTCTGGTCTGGTTGGTTTACGTATTTGACTACTACTACCTACTGGTTGTAGGACCTCTTGTGAGTCCGCGCGGGTAGGTACCACTGCCCTGAATATTTCTGCCGTGAAGTAGTAATGCGTTTCGGTTTGAAGGGTGGGGCAGCCGCTGTAACTATACTTGAGACCTTAGAGCGTATATCTCAAGGTGGGTGGCGCATTTACGTTGTAGATGTCTTCGGGCTCCAGTAACCACTTAACACCAGGTGGCCTGTGCTCTCGTACAACCATCTAAGGTATAAAAAAAAATTTGAAGAGTTACCACGGTTCTTCCTGTTTCGTTAGTCAAGCAATTATGCGTTCTAGTTTGAAAGGTGGGAAAACTGTTTCCAAGAAAATTGAAACTCCGACCTCATGTCCGAGGTGGATGGCATGTGTCGTGACATTTAATACCAGATTGTCCGTGACTTCCACTTCCCAAACTTCTTAAAGCATTCTTCGAATAAACATTGATAAAATAAATGCTTAGTTAAAATTTAATGAACAAATATCTTGGATTTTATCAGTGATAGAAGCTCACGGATAGCTCACCTTAGCTCCACAATCATAAAATCAATCGTAGCTGCATCGAAATAAATGCTAACTGCTTTAAAATAATTTGTCAGGGTTCAAAAGTAAAAGTTTAATAGAATAGGTCGTTCTACTATTTTAATAAAGTGTATTTCAACTAAAACTACCATAAACTAACTTATGCATATAATATCTTAAAGTTAAAAATGGTAAATCCTCTTTTTTGCCTTGAATTAAAATCGAAAAACAGCCAAAAATTGTATTTTACATACCTGTAATCACTATAAAATATTGCCTCAACAGAGGACCGAAATGCAGTTTGTACATCACCAATTTTTAGTAATAAATAAAACTTAATTTAATGCTAAATAAGTATTATTTTATTTTGTTAACACAACAGCCACGGGCGCTAAAATGAATACGACTATGTGAGAAGGTATATTCGCATAACCTCTACTAATGTTGTTCTAAAAATTATTTACGCAAACTTTGAAGTGTGCGTTAGGAATTCATAGTGTTTTTTTGCGATGATTTATCGTCAATTCGTTATAATGATTTCGAAATATTTATGTTATATATATGTTATTTATTGATCGATTAATTAGATTTTCTTAATTTGCAAAATGAAACGAGATGAGATGGAATGAAATAAAGTTTCAGTAACATTGTGGAAGTTTCAGTAGCATTTGGAAGAACCGGAGATGCTACGTCCAGCGGCTTTTTTTTATTAAATGATTATTAACCATTTAATACCGCTACCGTTTTTACACTTTTGAACCTGAACCTAAAATAACAAAGCAAAACAAATTCTCAAAACCACGCTGCTCGCGTTCCCACTAAAAATTCTCGATAATCACTCATTCTAAGTTTTGAAAACTATAGTAGGGGTCATTCGAGATACTCGTTTGTATACACAACACACGAAGGCTCAACTTTCACTATAGCATCGATGTTATTTCGTCTATTGCCTGCTTTATTACATGTCACTCAAAAATGTTTCAAGGTAATGGCGCATTGTATTCTATTTTAGGCGAAAATCACGTCGGATAAAATTACGCAAAAAAAAAACAGGCTTGCGTGATGATCAACAGCGTTTGACCTGTGATCGTATTAAAACGCACAATGTCGTCTTGAATTTTTCCTATTGGGAAATACAGCTTTTTGTCGATAAACAAATGACTTTGTCACTACCAAATAAATAATAAAAAGCGCTTTTAATATACTGTGTAACTGAAATTCCCACTTCGATAAAGCGGCACAACACGAGAACCCTCTCATCGTGGCCGCCGGTAACTACATTCCCGATCCTGCGGAAAGAATGGAAAGCAGTCGACGTCGCCCCAAACACGTCATTTCGGATCCTCCCGATCCACTAACGGTGCTTTTAGGTACCTCAAGCACCGGACATTGTTCTCGTCGAACCCGTCGCTCGCGACGAAGGGCTCGACGAGTAAATTAACCCTCAGACACAGCCCACTGAGTTTCTCGCCGGATCTTCTCAGTGGGTCGCGTTTCCGATCCGGTGGTAGATTTAGCCGAAGCACGACTCTTGCCAGGGTTCGTGTTAGCAACGTCATCAGGTTTGAGCCCCGTGAGCTCACCTACTAGTTAAGGCGACGCTGATATAGCCTCACAAGGCTATCAGCTTAGGTACGAAAAAAAAACTGAATTTCAATTGAATAATTGTGGTTTATTAATACCCACTGTAGAATATTTATGTCCTATCGGATCCTCTCGATCCACTCTCGGTGCTTTAAGACACTCCAAGCACCATATTGTGCTTAGTGAGAGTTTTTTAACGTTCTCGATAGCGTAAACGTTCTCGATAGCGTAAAAGTTAACTCAAAGTTGTATGGAGTTGGAGCGTTTGCCTACATTTGCCGCTAGGGGCGCTGTTCCAACTGCGTACAAATCACACACCGGTCACCGTTAGACACCATAGACACAACTCACTGAGTTCTTCGCCGGACCTTCTTAGTAGATCGCGATTTTGATCGAGTGGTAGATTCAGCGAAACGCCGCTCCTCCTAGGGCTAGTGGTAGTAAGTCCTTCCAGGTTGAACTCCTGAGCTCACTAACCATACTTACTGCGCATGAGTGAAATAGTCCTACCATTAGACTACCAACAATTAGGTTAAAAAGTACAATATTAAAGTATTATTACACCGTGTACACGATGATTCGCTCTAATGAACTCAAAGACCCACAATTTAATGACCAATTTGCCTAGCTCGGTTCTTTCGCATCACCAACGGAATCTAGGGTATACCTATCTAGGTTTTACCTTTTACACAAGCGGTCTTTGGGCTACTCATACCCAAAAAACGGATAATGCCCTGCGCATACAATATAATAACGCCTTCAGGGCGTTGTTGAGGCTTCCACCTTATTGTAGTGCATCAGGCATGTTCGCCGATGCGCACACGGATGACTACTTCGCGATAATGCGCAAAAAGGTGGCATCCATTATGCGTAGAGTAGGAGGAAGCACCAACAACGTCTTGAGGGTACTAGCTGAAAGACTGGATGGCCCGACCCTGGGTAGGTTCATCAAGTTGCATGTTCTNGGTGGCATCCATTATGCGTAGAGTAGGAGGAAGCACCAACAACGTCTTGAGGGTACTAGCTGAAAGACTGGATGGCCCGACCCTGGGTAGGTTCATCAAGTTGCATGTTCTACATGCTGCTTGATGGGGCTGCCAGGGACGGAGTTGATTGATTTATTTAAATACTAACATAGTTCGTAAGTTATTTGTAATACTAACAAAATATGAGACCTTTGTCTTGAAATAAAAGTTTTTTTTTTTTATTATTTTTTATTTTTTATTTTTTTTTTATTTATTTATATTGTGAGTTCCTAAGGGCTCTTAGGTAAGGCGCGTTCGATTATAAGAACTATAAACGATATTAAAATGCAACGAATGATTCTCAGCGTAGGAGCGATCGTCGTGGCGAGCCTTGGGGGATGCCTTTGTCCAGCAGTGGACGTCTGTGGGCTGATAGAATAGATTCTCGGCTATCACTTTATATTGTCTATGGACTCTGACAAACGTTTACGACTAGACTATGAGCTCATTAATCCATCTACTCCATCCATTACTGGTTATAGGACCTCTTGTGGGTCCGCGCGGGTAGGTACTATCACCCCGCCTATTTCTACCGTGAAGCACTAATGCGTTTCGATTTGAAGGGTGGGGCAGCCGTTGTAACTATACTTGAGACCTTAGAACTTATACCTCAAGGTGGGTAGTGGTTTACATTGTAGATTTCTATGGGCTCCAGTAACCACTTAACACCAGGTGGGCTGTGAGCTCGTCCATCCATCTAATAATACTAAAAAAAAAGAAAAAAATCTACACTAAAGACTTGAAATTACTCATTTAGAATAATACTATAAAAACACTTCTAGACACAATATAAAAAAAAAGTAAATAGAACCAACAGATGTAACTTATTCAGTGGACTGCATATCATATTGTTTTATTATCATTGACTATTAAATTTATGCAAACAACAATTTAATCAACATGTAGTATTTTAATTCTACAGATAAAATTTAATTTCACAGTTTCTAGCATTCATTCCTTGTGGTGTATTTTTTTTATTCTTAGACGCATGAATGTGCCCACGTCCCATCTGTTGTTATTTGATTACCGGTGCCTGTAGACATCAACAACGCAAAAGCCGCCACCCACCTTGGGACATGCGTTTCAAATCTCAGTTTAATATAACAATGGCTGCCTCGCCTTTCAGACCGAAAGGCCTAGAAACCCTTAGAAACAACACCTTTGCAGTTAAAACAGAGGTTAGTACGAACAGCGCTTGTAGCGTGGACAAAGTATTTTATGTTCTCTTACTCTTTCAGTGTTCTTTTTAGAGAGAGATAGAGAAACATAGTCTCTTACGTACCATGTGCGCCCGTGCCAAATATTAACTCTGTGTCTGCGAACTTTGATCAACAGGCATGATATTATAATGATACCGTTCACGAAATATGATCGTTTTTAATTCACCAATAAAGAAGCAAAAACATGTACAACTTTATTTCCTGTTTCAGTTTATTTCTTTTTAGCAGGGTTTCCTGGGCAATAACAGGGCTTAGGGCATTGGGCTTTCGGCCCTTTTTTGTCGCAGCTCTTGTGGTTTCCCGAGGGATAGCACCCATCTTGATTGGGCCCCTTTTCGCCGACCAATTCCTTCATCTTGCACATCAGCTCGTTGATTTGATTGGTCAATTGTCCAACAGTCTTGCACATGTCTTCCACCACTTGAACTGAATCGTTTCTTCCGGTGTTCACGGCCAAATCTCCGGGAATGTACGAATCATTGGACGCGTCTGAGGGACAGTCTGGCACACAGCGACCCGTAGGCGGGGGTAGAGGCTTCCTCTCATGCTGTACGCATGCCGGAGAATATTGCGGGGGGGGCGCACTAGGTACTTGGGGGCTGCTGTGCTGCTTGCAACCAGCGCCGCACCTCCCCAAGGGACACGGCTTTGATGCTGAGTTATTATTAGCCTTCTCTTTATCAGAATTAGTAGGGCATGTCGTGTTTTCGCACCTCGGCGGTCGATTGGCAGGACAATAGCTGTTATCACAACTAAATGCTTCGTCAGTTCTATATTCTTTCGGTTGGATTGACTTACAATCAGGACACGGGCAAGTTACTTTGATTATACCTTTCCTGATGTCATTTATTCTGCCCGGAGTGTAATGTAGACAACCGTAGTGCACCCAGCTGTCACAAGCACCCTCGCATTGTAGCCCAGTTTTTTGAGACACCGGACCCAAGCAAATCTTACAGGGGTTTTTCACTTTATTGCATTTTGACATTCTGGTCGTTTATAATATTTACTGCGAATGGACATAACGGCGATGAGTGGTGGCCGTTAAATTTACGTTTAGTCTGTCATTGTAGATTTAAAATACTTTTTATGAAATAGTAAACCAGTGTAAAGATTGTTTTGGTTTTGAGATTAAATGAAAATGTCATTATGTCGCATCAATTACCAATGATCGTTCTAGCTTCAGTCTTTCTCTATGTGCAGTCATTTAAAAAGAGGTTTGTGGCGTTTTATTATGCGTAAGCCGGAACGCACGAGATGTGGGAAAAAGGATATAGTCTGTGACACAATACCTTTTTACCGCCAAATATGAAAAACATAAAAATAATTTATAATGTGATAATAACTAATTTAATGTAATTACTTTATGCCGCTACAACAATAAAATTTATATTGTTCCAACTGTGGTGTTAATTACGTAAAACACGACCAGGCGAAATAAAGAAGGGACTCTATATGCACTCCCTCATTGGTGACCCCGACGTGATCGATCGTTACAAATAGAGATCGAGTAGAAACCATATACACCTGGCGCAGCATCCAGACAAGGTCGAGTACAAACTATATACACCTGGCACAGCATTCAGGCAAGATCGTCTACAAACCATATACACTTGGCGCAGCATCGCCGCGCACAGCAGAGTGATCAAGTACAAGCGGTTAAACACCTGGTGCGGCATTCCACAACATGGAACTTATTTTCTTTTTTTTTTTGTGTTTTTTGATTAACTCAGTGAAGTGTTTTATATTTTTTATTTTATTTTAATCTTAAAACTTCTTCATATTCTCCGCCTATACTGTAACTTTAATTTTGTTACATAATTGCATATATAACAGCTTGGTCTTTGTCGACATAAAAAAACAAGAAAAACAAATTTTTTATTTAATTTAAAGGTTCCTTTTGTAACCATAGTTAATCATATTTTGTTAACGGGCCTTCATTGCTCCACCAATTCATGGTATAACATTGTAATTAATAATAATATTAAGGTATTATTGTACGATTAGTAGTAAGGAAATATTTGTTTTTACGAGGCAAAATAATTACAGTTTTAGGTCTTATACATCACATCTGTATTTGACTAATTTCTATTTTCTTGTATACTATAATTTTATTTCATTGTTTTACTGTGTCTCTTATTGTCAGTATTTTGCCATCTTTTACCATAATCATTAATTTTCAATTTCCTGTTTACTTATTATTATTATTTTTAAGTTGTTACATTGTGTAAGTGCTTAGTTTTTTTATTTATTTATTACAATTGTAAACGTAAAGTTCTGTAATGGAGGCAAACGAACAATTAGTAAGAGAAGAAAATACACTGTTACTACAACAAAATGCCATCCTAAAGGCTGAATTACAAAAACTTAAAATGCAAGGCATCGATAAAACGGACCCACCCCCCACAGACCCATTATTTCCTCAACCTACGTCAGTATGCAGAGTAGCCATAAAACTTCCTCCCTTCTGGCCTGATCGGCCTGCAATTTGGTTTGCTCAGGTAGAGGCACAGTTCTCGATTTCAGGCATCTCCGCTGACCTGACTAAATTTAACTACGTGATTGCTCAGTTAGATACCCGAGTTATTGGGGAGGTAGAAGACATTATTCTCCAACCACCACCTGAGGACAAATATGGTCGCCTCAAATCCGAGTTGATCCGTAGGTTGTCCACGTCTGAGGAGCAACGTGTCAGGCAACTTGTCAGTGATGTTGAGTTGGGTGACCGCCGTCCTTCGCAGTTTTTACGTCATCTTAGATCATTGGCAGGAAACACCCTCACTGATGAAAATTTGCTTCGCCAGCTATGGATGCGTCGCCTCCCACAACATCTCCAAGCAATTTTGGCCGCCCAATCAGAACTCTCGCTGGACAAAGTCGCTGAGCTAGCGGACAAAATTTTGGAAGTTTCGCCTGGTATGGTCGCACCTCATTCATCTGCTGTTTTCTCAGCAAGCACGTCTGCCGTCTCACCCCCTTCGTTAGAAGATATCACACGGCGTCTGGATGAGGTCACGCGTCAGCTTGCTGTGCTTACTGCAGAGCGCGGTAGAAATAGGACCCGGGATTTCTCAAACCAGCGACGACGCTCACAAACGCCTGGTAAGCTTCAAATGTGCTTTTACCATAGGAAATTTAATACTAAAGCTGTTAAGTGTATTCAACCATGTACCTGGACGCCGCCGCCACCTTCGGAAAACGACAAAAGCAGTCAATGATGGCGACGTCTGACTGCTTAAAGGAGAGTCGCCGATTATTTGTCACCGAAAGCGCAACCAAGCGCCGTTTTTTAATAGACACAGGCTCTGACCTCTCCTGTTACCCATACCAGTGGTTAGCAAATAAGCCGGTACGTTCAAACTATACGTTAGCGGCTGCCAATGGTAGTGAGATACGCACTTTTGGTCACATAGAAATGGCGCTTAATTTGGGGCTACGCCGCACATTTCAATGGCGATTTATTATCGCTGACGTCAACACCGCCATCATCGGCTCCGATTTTCTGGCGCACTATCGGTTGTTGCCAGATTGTGCCAGTAAGAGACTCGTCGATAGCATTACCGGGTTGTCATGCGTTGCTGCCGTCGCTGTTTTAGACCAGACCAGCGTCAAAGTTGTCTGCGCTCCGTCATCCCAATTTAGTGCACTTCTTGCGGAATTTCCGTCCATTACGAAGCCACCAGGACTTATTCGTGAGCCGAAGCATAACACAGTTCATTATATTCTAACCACTGAGGGCGCCCCAGTCTCTTGTCGTCCTAGACGTCTGGCACCTCAAAAACTTCAAGAGGCCAAAAAGGTTTTTGATGATATGGTACAGTGCGGGACAGCCAGACCTTCGAAAAGTTCGTGGTCTTCTCCACTTCATATGGTCCCTAAGCGCGACGGCACCTGGCGACCCTGCGGCGATTATCGTGCGTTGAATTCACGTACCATACCTGACAGGTACCCAGTTCGCCATATCGGTGACGTTGGCCATAACATATCTGGGTGTAGTATATTTAGTACCATCGACCTCGTTAAGGCATATCAGCAAATTCCTGTTGCGCCTGAGGATATCTGTAAAACCGCCATCATAACACCCTTCGGACTCTACGAATTTAATTACATGACTTTTGGTCTGCGCAACGCAGGCCAAACGTTTCAAAGATTTATAGACGAAGTTGTCCAAGGTCTCGATTTTTGCTTTGCGTACGTTGACGACATATTAGTGTATTCCCGTGATGCTCTTCAACATGCTGCACACCTTCGTACTCTTTTCAAGCGATTTGAAGATTACGGAATCGTTATTAATCCAGCAAAATGCGTGTTTGGTGCTCCTGAGGTTACTTTTCTCGGAAACAGAATATCCGCCGACGGAACACAACCACCATCAGAGCGCATTCAAGCTCTAAAAGATTTTCCTCTACCACAGACTGTACAAGGACTCCGTCGTTTCATTGGGATGGTTAATTATTATCGCCGATTTCTGCGCAATGCGGCCAAGTTACAAGCACCGCTAGTCAACGCGATCGTGGCCACTGGAGGTAAAGGTCTCACACCGATCACTTGGACACCTGAGCTCGAAGAATGCTTTAATGCCTGTAAAGATAGCTTGTCATCTGCAGCTCTGTTGGCACACCCTTTGCCTAACGCTGAACTAGGGCTTTTCACCGACGCTTCCAGTTCTCACGTTGGTGCCTGCCTTCAGCAGAAAGTCGGTGATGCTTGGCAACCCCTGGGTTTCTTTAGTAAAAAGCTGAATCCCCGACAGTGCCAGTGGCCAGCATACTACCGAGAACTTCTTGCGGTATATGAGAGTGTGCAACATTATCGACACTTCCTAGCCGCACAGCACGTAACGATTTATACGGACCATAAGCCATTAGTTTACGCGTTCTCGCAACGTCGCGAAAGGCTTCCTCCGGTACAGTTAAATCAACTGTCTTTTATTTCGCAGTTTACCACGGACATTGTCCATATAAAAGGGGTGGACAATACGGTGGCGGACGCCATGTCCCGCATCGAAGCTGTTAGTTTTGAAACTGACCATTCTGCTCTCTCCGCTTGCCAAAAACTTGACGACGAATTGAAAAAGTATCGTAAAGATGCGAATTCTTCTCTAAAACTAGAGAACGTCGTAGTTCCTGGCACAAACACTGTTTTGGTCTGCGACATGTCAACAGGGCGACCACGCCCATTTGTATCGGAACCTATGCGAAAGAAGATTTTTGCTCATCTACATAATCTTAGCCATCCTGGTACTAGATCAACCATTCGATTGATCTCAGATCGTTTCGTGTGGCCTGGCATTGCCAAAGATTGCCGTTATTGGTGCCAAACCTGCGTTGCTTGCCAGCGAAGTAAGGTGACGCGGCATAAAAAATCTCCCCTTGGACACTTCTCCAGTCCTACGTCTCGGCTGAAGCATGTCCATATTGACATCATAGGCCCTCTTCCATCTTGTTCTGACTTCCAATACTGCCTGACTGCTGTGGATCGCTACACTCGATGGCCCGAAGTTTGGCCTATGCACGGAATAACAGCAGAAGAAGTGGCGAGCACCTTTGTAGCCGGTTGGATTGCTCGATTCGGAGTACCTGCTGTCATCACTACCGACCAGNGAGACTTGTCGATAGTATTACCGGGTTGTCATGCGTAGCTGCCGTCGCTGTTTTAGACCAGACCAGCGTCAAAGTTGTCTGCGCTCCGTCATCCCAATTTAGTGCACTTCTTGCGGAATTTCCGTCCATTACGAAGCCACCAGGACTTATTCGTGAGCCGAAGCATAACACAGTTCATTATATTCTAACCACTGAGGGCGCCCCAGTATCTTGTCGTCCTAGACGTCTAGCACCTCAAAAACTTCAAGAGGCCAAAAAGGTTTTTGATGATATGGTACAGTGCGGGACAGCCAGACCTTCGAAAAGTTCGTGGTCTTCTCCACTTCATATGGTCCCTAAGCGCGACGGCACCTGGCGACCCTGCGGCGATTATCGTGCGTTGAATTCACGTACCATACCTGACAGGTACCCAGTTCGCCATATCGGTGACGTTGGCCATAACATATCTGGGTGTAGTATATTTAGTACAATCGACCTCGTTAAGGCATATCAGCAAATTCCTGTTGCGCCTGAGGATATCTGTAAAACCGCCATCATAACACCCTTCGGACTCTACGAATTTAATTACATGACTTTTGGTCTGCGCAACGCAGGCCAAACGTTTCAAAGATTTATAGACGAAGTTGTCCAAGGTCTCGATTTTTGCTTTGCGTACGTTGACGACATATTAGTGTATTCCCGTGATGCTCTTCAACATGCTGCACACCTTCGTACTCTTTTCAAGCGATTTGAAGATTACGGAATCGTTATTAATCCAGCAAAATGCGTGTTTGGTGCTCCTGAGGTTACTTTTCTCGGAAACAGAATATCCGCCGACGGAACACAACCACCATCAGAGCGCATTCAAGCTCTAAAAGATTTTCCTCTACCACAGACTGTACAAGGACTCCGTCGTTTCATTGGGATGGTTAATTATTATCGCCGATTTCTGCGCAATGCGGCCAAGTTACAAGCACCGCTAGTCAACGCGATCGTGGCCACTGGAGGTAAAGGTCTCACACCGATCACTTGGACACCTGAGCTCGAAGAATGCTTTAATGCCTGTAAAGATAGCTTGTCATCTGCAGCTCTGTTGGCACACCCTTTGCCTAACGCTGAACTAGGGCTTTTCACCGACGCTTCCAGTTCTCACGTTGGTGCCTGCCTTCAGCAGAAAGTCGGTGATGCTTGGCAACCCCTGGGTTTCTTTAGTAAAAAGCTGAATCCCCGACAGTGCCAGTGGCCAGCATACTACCGAGAACTTCTTGCGGTATATGAGAGTGTGCAACATTATCGACACTTCCTAGCCGCACAGCACGTAACGATTTATACGGACCATAAGCCATTAGTTTACGCGTTCTCGCAACGTCGCGAAAGGCTTCCTCCGGTACAGTTAAATCAACTGTCTTTTATTTCGCAGTTTACCACGGACATTGTCCATATAAAAGGGGAGGACAATACGGTGGCGGACGCCATGTCCCGCATCGAAGCTGTTAGTTTTGAAACTGACCATTCTGCTCTCTCCGCTTGCCAAAAACTTGACGACGAATTGAAAAAGTATCGTAACGATGCGAATTCTTCTCTAAAACTAGAGAACGTCGTAGTTCCTGGCACAAACACTGTTTTGGTCTGCGACATGTCAACAGGGCGACCACGCCCATTTGTATCGGAACCTATGCGAAAGAAGATTTTTGCTCAGCTACATAATCTTAGCCATCCTGGTACTAGATCAACCATTCGATTGATCTCAGACCGTTTCGTGTGGCCTGGCATTGCCAAAGATTGCCGTTATTGGTGCCAAACCTGCGTTGCTTGCCAGCGAAGTAAGGTGACGCGGCATATAAAATCTCCACTTGGACACTTCTCCAGTCCTACGTCTCGACTGAAGCATGTCCATATTGACATCATAGGCCCTCTTCCATCTTGTTCTGACTTCCAATACTGCCTGACTGCTGTGGATCGCTACACTCGATGGCCCGAAGTTTGGCCTATGCACGGAATAACAGCAGAAGAAGTGGCGAGCACCTTTGTAGCCGGTTGGATTGCTCGATTCGGAGTACCTGCTGTCATCACTACCGACCAGGGACGACAGTTCGAGTCGGACCTTTTCAGACGCCTTACTAATTTATGTGGTACTAAACGTATACGCACTACTAGTTACCACCCTTGTGCCAATGGGCTCGTGGAGCGCATGCATAGACAATTAAAGGCCTCTCTGATGTGTTATGATGATTCGTGGTTGAATGCATTACCTTTGGTCTTATTAGGAATGCGTTCGGCTTTTAAAGAAGATCTACAAGCAACAGTAGCGGAATTGCTTTACGGAGAAACATTAACGCTTCCAGGGGAACTGTTAGTACCTCCCGGTCCTTCTGGCTTCGAGGACCCGACGGATTTTGTCGTAAAGTTAAGACAGCGTATGTCTAAATTGCGTCCCACTCCATGTTCCTCACACACTAAACCATCACCTTTCATATTTAAAAATCTTTCCACCGCCTCTCATGTCATGCTCAGGGAGGATTCGGTTAGACGTTCAATGCAACCACCTTACTCTGGTCCTCATAGAGTTATATCTAGAGCCGAGGACGGAAAAACGTGGTCGATTGATGTAAAAGGGAAACAGGTGACGGTCAGTGTCGACAGAATTAAGCCAGCTTTCGTCGAGCATTCTTTAGTAGATCTCGTTCCAGCACCAGCACCGCGGGTTTCTGTGCCTCAACCAGCGCAACCGGATGCTACTAATGTCCCTTCATGTCCACTCGTGCCTTCGGCACCTCTAACTGCTACTCCTACACATACACCTCAATATACCACCCGGTCAGGTCGCAGAGTCCACTTCTCCAAACCTTTCGACCTATGATAATTTTTCTCTTTTTCTGCGGATTCTCCTTCTCCGTAGGGGGGTGGTGTGGCGTTTTATTATGCGTAAGCCGGAACGCACGAGATGTGGGAAAAAGGATATAGTCTGTGACACAATACCTTTTTACCGCCAAATATGAAAAACATAAAAATAATTTATAATGTGATAATAACTAATTTAATGTAATTATTTTATGCCGCTACAACAATAAAATTTATATTGTTCCAACTGTGGTGTTAATTACATAAAACACAACCAGGCGAAATAAAGAAGGGACTCTATATGCACTCCCTCAGGTTTATAAAAAATACACTAATAAAATGTTGGTGTGTATAATCGATTGTTGTAAAATCCAAATTTTTATAAATATGTATTTAAAAAGGATTTACCTTAATGTATATATAGGCTGTATTTCCTTTGCCTGACAAAGTGAAACAACAAAAAAAAAGTAGGATAACCGTTTGATTAATTTTATTTATTTCCCAAATTTAATCGTTGCATGTACAAACAAACTACACGACAGCATCTAAACTGCTCTCAACTTTTCTAATATCAATCAAATTGAGTATTTGTCTCCTGTTTTTTTTTTAATAAATTATTACTCGTGGCCCAGAGGCCTTTCCAGCTTCACCAGGACAGGTGGGCGAGCAAAGGCTCAGCCAGGAGGTATGGGATTTGCTAACAACTGCTCGAGCGCCTTCAAAGGAGACCTAACTACCTAACAACCTAAACTAACAACTTGAGAGCAACTGCTTCACGAATGAATCTACTACCGGATCGGAATCGCGACCCGCTGAGAAGATCCGACGAGAAACTCAGCGGACTGATGCATGGGTTAGGTTGCACGTCGAACTCTTTGCCGATTTCGACGAGTACGGTTACCGGGGTCCTTAAGTCTTTATGGGTGGACGAGCTCACAGACCACCTGATGTTAAGTGGTTACTGAAGCCCATAGACATCTATGACGTAAATGCGCCACCCACCTTGAGATATCAGTTCTAAGGTCTCAAGTATAGTTACAACGACTGCCCCTCCCATCAAACCGAAACGCATTACTGCTTCACGGCAGAAATAGGGAGGGTGGTGGTACCTACCCGCGTGGACTCACAAGAGGTCCTACCACCAGTAATTACGCAAATTATAATTTTGCGGGTTTGATTTTTATTACACGATATTATTCCTACACCGTGGAAGTCAATCGTGAAAATTTATTGAGTACATATTTCATTATAAAAATTGGTACCCTCCTGGGATTCGTACATCGGTGCATCGCTCAACACGAATGCACCGGACGTCAGTACAAGGGTTATTGGATCTGATGGATCGATCGACGTCGGCGTTGACGGCGGCTGGCTCCTGCGTGATCAGGATTTGGGGAGTCAGCGGCGGCAACGAGAAGGCGGCTGTCATGACACATAGCCTTGTAGAAGTACCGTTCCGACGCTGACTTCATGTGTTTCCGGATGGATTCGAGGCCCAGGTCATCGTGTAGGTCAACCTTCCTCACGAATCACAGAGTTCCAACGGCTAACCTGCAAAAGCGAAATTGTAGGGATTGGAGGGTGTCTACGTGCGTGCGGGCCGCGTGAGGGAATACCACACTCGCGTTAGTCATAACGGGCCTTATGCCAGTTTTGTAAAGTGTCACCTTATTAAGAAGGGACAATTTACTTTGCTTACTTACTTCAGCAAGATAGAACAAAAATAATCTTTAGATTTTATTTAATTTTAAAAATGACTACCGTAAGTTTACTTAGGTGAAATGACACTAATAATAGCTATAGCCTTCATTAAGACAAAATTTTAAATAAATTTCGATTCACGGCTGTGCGTATTCTTTTGAAATACAGATGGATGGATGGAGAAATACAGACAGAAACACAGACAAATCAGAACTGGACGCAGTGGAAAAAAAGTATAGCGATTGTTATTAAAACAAAAACTCACTATCTAGTCATTAAATTTTTATTCAACCTAGATTGGTTCGCATTCGCTTAACATACAATTCCGCCAACACTGGTGCGCCACACACAAATCGATTAAGAAATTAAAGATCGAATTTCAAGAAATCGATTCAAATCGGACATCCCATTTACTTAAAGGCTGTCTTTGAAATGTGACTTGACCTAAAAGGCTTAGTTACCAGGTCATAGAATACCATAAAAAAGTTTGAAATATGAATGAAAACTGAAAAATAATTGTGTTGTGTAAACATATTTATGTAAATAGACTTCTGAATTCTGATACCTATCACCTATCAAAGATAATCACTGAATATGGATGATGACGATTATTGGAATACGAGTGACACTAAAGCGAAAGCATTCAGCTTTGACGATGATGTGGTAATCCGATTTCTTTTTTTTTCACCTTTTGTGCACGGAGTTGTAGGATTTATAGGAATTTATATAACTGAAGCAAAATAAGGGTAGTAATCATTACAAAACAATGTTTTATAAACATAATAACTAAAACGTAATTGTAATTATAATTTCAATAGCATCTATTTGTAATATAAAGAGTATAGGTACTAAAAAATTACTTAATATAGTATACTTACTAAATAATGAATCCAAAGATACTTAAATATAATTAGGTATATATGTAGTCTTGAAATTTAATTCATCTTAAACTAGCATTAGCTAATACGACCCATTCATCATCAAGTATTTTATTAATACAAAAAAAAATATCCTTAGTTTCAGTCTCATTTGTATTAAAAATTAAATATGACAGAAATATTTTATGATAAGTAATATTAATTAAAATGGTATGTAAGATAATATTATTGTTTTATTTACGTTTAACCATTATATTTTTATAAGACACTACTTCATATTAAAAATCGATACAATAGAATATATTATTTAAAATCAAACACTTATTAACTGCCAGTATGTATCATTTCGCGCAAGTAGGTTACATCAGCTCTTCAACAATAAGAATACCTTGTTTCGTTTGATTCGTTTGTTTCTGTCTATTCTCTCATTACTACATAATTATATAAATTACTGTACCGTAATGTAAATTGTAAATCTACAGTTATCTCCGCAAGAGATCTTGGCTATTGGGCAGAAAACATATCCAGGACAGAAGGAAGAGAGCATTTTCAGTTCAAGCAGTATTAGTACGGTGAAGGTTGCTCAGATTCCATTAATGAGTTTAGTTACACCCAAAGTTTTAGATTTGAGTAAGTATTTAAATGATGCTGACATAAACATCGATAAAAAGATTAAATAATTTCTTTATTAATTTCTATGTGAAGTGCCATACAGCATAGTCATTTATATCAACAAAGAGTAATTACAGGCATCCACAGTATTTAATAAAAAATAATTGAAAAACTAAAGGAATTGTGGATAAAATTCTAGAAAGTGTCAATGTAAATATAAATACTATCAACTATCTGTAGGTATTAGCATGTCTCAAAATGTCATTTGAACTTATCTGTATCATTTTACTGGCAATTGGGAACATTGTGAGATTATACGGTAGGTACCACCTTCCTGCCTATTTTTTGATACAACACAGTCATGCCTTCTGCTATGGAGAACCATTAAAGACTCAATTGAGACTGATTTCAAGGCCGCTAGTGTTATTTAAATTCTAATTTGTGTATAAGCTCTACTCACCGTGTACCATCAGAATGTGAGTATTACAGTCAAAACCGTTTACTGCGACATCGTTTAGAACAACATACCGGTTATAATAACCTAGAACAAAGGTCCCGGCTGAATGCTATATGACCGCCTTATTAAAAACATTGCTTTATACGACATTGCTAATAACGACATACCTCATAAAACGACCACATTTAACTAATATTTCGGAGAATTAGATCTGTTAGAACGACCGGCTAAGCTGTATTGTAAACAATTTGAATAGGTATCCACATTTGTCTTCAATGNAGGTCCCGGCTGAATGCTATATGACCGCCTTATTAAAAACATTGCTTTATACGACATTGCTAATAACGACATACCTCATAAAACGACCACATTTAACTAATATTTCGGAGAATTAGATCTGTTAGAACGACCGGCTAAGCTGTATTGTAAACAATTTGAATAGGTATCCACATTTGTCTTCAATGGCTATTAAAATCAGGAAAGAAAACAATAGGATTTAGTTTAGTGTAGGGTCTACACGTGCATGCGGTAGGGTCAAAGCCCGCTTCTTCATATCTCTTCAGTTAATTTGTTACTTATCTATTATACACAAGACGCACCAAAACTTTGTGGAGTTATTTGTGAAACTTTCAAAATGTCGCAAAGAAAAAGAAACAAATTAATATTGAAGAAAAATCGCGTATTATGTAAATATATTTTTCCAATAATTCCCTATCGATTTGTTTGTACTTGCACGATACACATTAAACATCACCGGTTGTTACGACTATCGGTTTTTACGACTGAATATGAGCAGTCCCTTCGATGTCGTTATAACAGATTTTGACTGTACTCTTTTAATGCCAATAAATTGGTAAAATTATATTTATCTAACAACTATACTATTTTTAGTACAACATTTGCAAAAGGTGTAATTCCCTACCATATAATTAATACAAGAAAAGATAAAGAAATTGGATTTTGGTGTATCACATTCATTTAAATACCATACCGTATAAATCTATTTCAGTTCTTTTAGCACAATCAGGGAAAGATCCAGCCCAAGAACAGAGTCAAGAATCTCCAGAGACCGTGGCAGTTACATTGAAAAGGCTGGTCCTCGGTAGGCGATGTGCTCTCCATGTACACCGCACAATGAAGAGCAAGACTGAACTGTTAGACGGAGCTGTGGCAATAGGAGATGGGAATGCTATACTAACGGTTCGTTTTTATACATATTGTTACGTGCTCGGCTTCGGGATAAATAAAATTCTACCAAATTACAAGTAAAAATATTGCATATATATTACAGAAACAATTACTTAATTTTTTTAATATTATAATGTGTGAATTGTGGCCCTGCTTTGAGATTGATGCTTCAATCTGCTGATGTATTGTAATTAATTTTTCTATTGTTTTGCCTTTGAATTGTGAGCACAGCAGATTAACATTTCATTGTTAGTCTCATTAGGACTTTCATTCACTTTATCAAAGGACATATTGTTAAAATTAGACAGAAAAAAACCTGAATTAGATCTCATTTACTGGTGGTAGGACCTCTTGAGAGTACGCGAGGGTAGGTATCACCACCCTGCCTATTTCTTCCGTGAAGCAGTAATGCGTTTCGGTTTGAAGGGCCGGGCAGCCGTTGTAACTATACTTGAGATCTTAGAACTTATATCTCAAGGTGGGTGGCGCATTTACGTCGTAGATGTTTATGGACTCCAGCAACCACTTAACACCAGGTGGGCTGTGAGCTCATCCACCCATCTAAGCAATAAAAAAAAAACATTTCGTTTACCAATAATTGTTTCAAGTAAATCATTTCAGGTGGTGCTCTTTTTAATTGCAACATTGAACAAGAAATTAGTATATGAATTATTATCTTCGAGGCTCATAGCACTAAACCATTACATAAGCTTTCTACAAAATGAAGGAAAAATCACTGAACTAACTGATTTACTTACGTAAGTTTAGATTTGTTTTAATGAGTCATATCTGATAGCTCAATGCTGATGGGCCTGAGTCAGAGTTATCGGAGCCAGCATGAAGAAATCTTCGAATTGCACAGGAAGAGTGAAAGTATTCCTGTAGAAATATAGGCCTGAAGCCGCATCTCAGTAAAAAGTGGTAAATGATGTAATGACAACAGTTCCCTTATCTAATCTATACATATAATTAGAGTGTCTGTTTGTAATATTGAAATAACCGCTTTTTACTACATGCATATGAATAAATATACGGTACATACATTACATTATACATACAAAATAACATTTTTTACAATTTTTGTCTGTCTGTCTGTTTGTTCCGGCTAATCTCTGGAACGGCTGTACCGACTTTGACGAGACTTTCACTGATAAGTAGCTGATGATATAAGAAGTAACTTAGGCTACTTTTTTAAGACTAGCTTCGTTCCGCGGTATCACTCGCGGTACGACAATAACCGCGAGTGACATGCGGGACTCAGCTATCAATAATAAAATTTGATGTTTCCGAAGCGGAGCGAGGGCGGATCGCTAGTATATTATAATAATCGCCTTACTGTCTTTCCAGCATGCTTGGAAGGAGTCCTGATGCGGCAGTAAGTGTTTTCATTCTTATTCTTCTTCTTTCCTATTACCCTATGCTGGGGTATAGGGCTCGAATCAAATTCTTCCACCAGTCTTCCAGTCTTAGGCAGTATATTCTAACTCCTGCCACGTCATGCCCAAGATGCCCAGTTCCTGTTTTACTGAGCGATGCCGAGTTGTTCTGGGACGACCTGTCTTCCTTTTGTAATACACCAGTGGTTTAGCGTGGTGGGGGCAGGGGGTGTGGGGCTCACTTTATAGGGGGCGGCAAAATTTCTCAATAAATAATAATATTTGAACCAATTCATATTTTTATCGCAACTACAAATTTGGACCGATTGGACTGGCAACACCGTCTATACTGACTCGCGGGGATTCCCTGTATTTTATAATAGTAATGAAGTACGTAATGCTTTGACAATTCAAAGAAAGTTTTATTGATGGATTGTCAGTTGTCCATTTCACATTGACGTATCGTAATTTATGTTACGCTTTAAAACTGTGATTTTTGTGCAAATAAGTACTTACGTGTAGTGGTTGATGATCAAAGTGAAATACCGAAATAAAAGGACGGCAAAATTGTCTTCTGCCCCGGGCGGCTGACACTCAAGCTACGCCACTGTCATACACTTTGTAGGTCAGTGCTCTCTTGGATAGGTGGTCGGTCAATCATTCTTATTGATTGCAAAAAAAAAGATATAGATATCAGCATTCATAATCGTATTTCTTGTTTCCGCTTTTAGAGGAACCGAAGCATAGTGGTTACGAAATAAGCGCATGAAACCATTGACATTGTTACTGACAGTGATTTTACAAGTTGCGAAACAAAACGCAAAGTACTCCTAAAGTCTATTAATAGGTTTCACCCAATGAAATAAAGAATTATGAAGGGCTTATTGCGATAGTAAACTATGCTGGTGGAACAAATTAGCCATCCTGAGTGAAAACTGTTAATATAGGTATGGCGTACCTATGAGCTGGCAATGTAAGTTCGGGAACGCAGACCGTTAAAAACAAACTAACACGCCATAATATTTAACGACAATTTATTTATAAAAACCAATGCGAAAATGCTTTACATTCCTTCAGATTATCAAAATATTTAAAGATTAGAAAATTCACACTCAACCAGCCACGAAACTATGGCGAAGGAAGTGACAGATAGTTTTGACAGCTAGTGACAGCTATTCTCAATAAACTTGACACTATGTAAGGCTTATGCCTTTTAACTTATACAGCCAATTTATACTTATAATGGAATGAATAGGATACATAATATTTCTATCAAAAACAAACTTGTTGTGGGTAATCGGTTCTTAAATCCATCGATAGATGGCGCACTTCCAGCACGCCGTTAAGACGCAAGGCAACAACGTGGACGGCTTGCTGCGGAAGGTGACCAATATCCTGGCGAACCACTTCAACCAGCCCGGCGTGGACGCGCACCAAACCAAAATGGTTGATGCTTACGTTAAATTACTTGGTAATTATTAGAACTTATTTTATTTCGTAGATTGGTGGAGAAGCTCATAGCACATCTGGTGGTAAATGCACCTACCACAGGACCCTAGACCACCCTTGGTTGACTGGTAGAGAATGCCTCAGGCATTAAATCCGCCATTGTACCTTTGTGCTTTAGATAGTGGCACCAGGAAAAAAATATGTGTTAAAAATTTAACTGGTTCTTTAATCCCCACAAGTGACGCAATAGAGGGTAAGCGCTAAGTTCACAACCTCATGACGCTTGAGACGTGAGGTCAGTTTTTTTTATATTGCTTAGATGGGTGGACGAGGTCACAGCCCACCTGGTGTTAAGCGGTTACTGGAGAGCCCATAGACATTTACAACGCAAATGCGCCAACCACCTTGAGATATAAGTTCTAACGTCTCAGTATAGTTACAACGGCTGCCCCACCCTTCAAGCCGAAACGCATTACTGCTTCACGGCAAAACTAGGCGGGGTGGTGGTACCTACCCGCGCGGACTCACTAGAGGTCCTACCACCAGTAATTACGCAAATTAAAAATTTGCGAGTTTGATTTTTATTACACGATGTTATTCACCTTCACCGTGGCAGTCAATCGTGAACATTTGTTGAGTACGTATTTTATTAGGAAAATTGGTACCCGCCTGCGGGATTCGAACACTGGTGTATCGCTCAACACGAATGCACCGGACGTCTTATCCTTTAGGCCACGACCACTCCTCCGCCAATTTTCTTTTAAATAAAACTATTTTCGCGATTATTTTAAGTGTCGTTTATTCAGAATGGCAGAAACTGGCGAACCTGCCGGAGTTGAGCAACAGGTCGGCGTTACAGTGTCTGGCGTACACGTGCTCGCGACACTGGACCGAAGGTGCCGGCGCCGCCATGTCCCCGCTGACCTTGGGCCAGCGTCAGCAGGTACCGCCTCACGCACGTAACTTTTCGAAACTGTGCTGGTGATATAGCAACCCATTTTTTTTAGGGTATTTTATGACCTGGTAACTAAGACCTTTAAGTCATGTCTTATTTTAATTTATATTCTTATTGCTATGAAAAATGATAATATGGAGTGTAATGAAATTAAATGAAATGAGATGATATGGGATGAAATATAATCTTAGTAAAATTGTGGTCATTTACTAAGACTTTTTCAGTGGACTTTTTGGAGGATTCCGAGAAGTTATGTCCAGCGGCTTTGTTTCATTTTCCCACATTTGTGCACTTTCACAGACACTAAACAGTTAATAAACCACCGTTATTACAAATTTAAACCTGAAGAAACACTAAATAGATAAAATAAAACAAATCACACAACTTCAATCCTTGCGTTCCCGCCAAAAAGTCATAGCACCCCATAGCTCTTCCCATAGCTGTCTGTCCGCGACTGAGCAACTCGCCAGAGAACGGGCAGTAGCATTCCCGGTATAGCGGCAAACGTTCCTCGCTCTTCCATACAAATTTGAGTTAACTTTTACGCTATCGAGAACGTTAAAAAACTCGCGCTAAGCTCATTGTAGGGGTGTCGACTGAAGTTAGCTTATCATGCATTTAGTAAAGTTGCAATGTAGTGAGCCACTAAGTAACTTAGTCGCACATAACTCGGCGAGAAATATAGTCACATTAAATCGATGCCTCCAATGAACAGTACTCTAACTCCAAATTCGTAGCTTTACAGGAGGAGAGTTTAAACGAAAAAAGTTAGTAAATATAATATCTGCAATAATAAAGATTTTATGGTTTTTTCTTGTGTAACTAGCTGATTTACTCTTGCTTCGAACCCCATTCATAATGAATTTGTAATACTTTTAAAATAGCGAAGCGATTTTCGTGAAAAACGAAAATTTCAAAATTTTGAGTTAGAGTAGTGTTCATTGGAGGCATCGAAATATTGTCTAATAACCTCGTAAATCAGTATTCAGTAAAATTAATACAATATTTAATAATGCTACGCGCTGGGGCTCGGCGTAAATAAAAAATCCACCGAAGTACAAATTAACACTTATATAATAATATATACTTATAGTCGATACGACATCCCTAGAATTATCGAGAACATTCCTCACAAGTCGAGTATTTTCGATGTGTGTTTCCGCTATCTGACAATAGATGGCGTTGCACTTCTCTAGCGTTCTAGATTCTACTAGAGCCTTTGATGTTCGTTTCAGCTATTCGGCGATTGATGGCGTTACTCTTACCGGCGTAACAATAAATAATAGCGTATATCTCAATTTATCTATGTCTGAACTTTGACATAGAAAACATAATGAGCAAAAGCGTACGCTAAAGCAGACATTTGTTTCTTGAAGGTGGAACCACCTGTATATACAATTCGACCTCATGTCTCAAGGTGGGTTAGCCGTGTCATCGACGCGACCACACCGGTGTTCGAACCGCATAGTTATAACGTGTCTGTGTCTGAGGATGCCCTTGGGTATGCCGATGTTACATGAGGCCCAGTCGCGTCACTCCCCAAAAAGTGGTATATGGGTCGAGAGACACGGGGCTGAGTCGCACCACTTCTTGACACGTCACCACCGATTGAAAGGAAATTTTCTGGTGTTACATGGGTAGTTATCAATTTTGACCACACAATTGAACACGTGCGTTTTTTGTTTTGTTTCAGATAAGTCCACTGCAGTTCGACTGGGTCGTTTTGAACGTTCACGCTAAATCCGGAAAGTGGGACATCCTCGAATCGCTGTTCACGAAAAAGGCGAGTTCAGTTTTTTATATTTTTTTTTTACTGCATATATGGATGGATTAGCTCACGGCCCACCTGATGTCAAGTGGTTACCGGAGCCCGTAGACATTTACTTAACTTTTCCTGGAACAGCGCCCCTAGCGGCAAACGTACCCAAAATGCTCTAACTCCATATAAATTTGAGTTTTGGTGGTGAACCACTTTACTGGTGGTAGGACCTCTTGTGAGTCCGCACGGGTAGGTACCACCACCCCGCCTATTTCTGCCGTGAAGCAGTAATACGTTTCGGTTTGAAGGGCGGGGCAGGTGTTGTAACTATACTGAGACCTTAGAACTTATATCTCAAGGTGGGCGGCGCATTTACTTTGTAGATGGCTCCAGTAACCATTTAACACCAGGTGGGCTGTGAGCTCTTTTAACCATCTAAGCAATAAAAAAAAGTTAATTTCTACGGGATCGAGAAGTTAACTCAAATTTGTATGAATTTGGAACAGCGCCCCTAGCGGCAAACGTACCCAAACTGTTCTAACTCGATACAAATTTGAGTTAACTTTTACGCTATTGAAAACGTTAAAAAACTCGCACTAAGCACACGGGTCGCTTCGGTAACGAGCTCAACGTTAAGTAATTTGACTGGTCTCCATTTGACTGGTCTCCGCAAGACCCCACTGAAGATCCAAAGCTTAGATTAAAAAGTTTTAATATAAAATGCATTTTTGTCTATAATTCTGGCCCTCCTCTAGAATTTCCTAAACTTTGCGGCCCGCCATTAAAAATGTTTGCCCGCCATTGATCTAAACCAGTGATTATCAAACTTATTTCTTTTACCGCCCCCTTTGAAAATCAATTATTTTTCAGCGCCCCCCATTTTTTATACACCCCTAAAACTTTAAAACCACAGTTTCATTAATTTAATTAATAAATGTTGTATTAATTTTAGTAAATGTAGTACCACATAGTACATATTTTTGGTATTTATAGATGCTATTATTGTTTCTTCATATTATTATATGTCTGTACATTGCTACAGAGCGTGTATTTACAAATTTGCAAAGTAAAAATGAATTTTTCTCATCAATATGTTTGTTTAAATTCAGAACTACCAAAATAAATTGCTAGTTCACTGTACTATTACTATGCTAATTTATTAGAACGGAATTATTTTTCTTGAATATCTTTCTCATTGATATAAGATTTTCATCATAAGATAATAAAAAATTTGTATTTCGACTAGTAAATAATACTACTAACAATAATAGCTTATTAAACTACGAATAAGCTAAACCTGGAAGTCGTAGAGGATTTCATTTATCTGGGCTCCGTCATAGCTAGTAATGGATCCTCCGAAAAGGGCCTCAGAAGGCGAATCAGTATGGCAAAGAGAGCAATGTCCCAAATGGACATGGTCCCGTGTTTGGGCGGACAGAAACATCTCGAGGAATAGCAAAAAGCAGCTCGTCACCTCCCTCGTCTTTTCCATTTTTCTCTACGGCGCAGAAACTTGGACCCTCAAGAAAGCCGACCGCCAACGCATCGACACGTTTGAGATGTGGTTCTGGAGGAAAATGCTCGGGATTCGTTGGACAGAACACAGAACCAACGAATCCATTTTTACCGAGCTCAAGATTCCAATGCACCTCAGCACTATATGCGCGCGGAGGAGTTTCGAGATCTCTGGACATATCGCCAGTAAGAGAGTGACAATCTGGAAAAGCTGCTGGTAACAGGCAAGGTATGCGGGAAAAGGCACAGAGGCAAAAATCCAATGCGATGGTCAGACCAAATACGCTCCACTCTCAATACCTCAGTCCACGTTGCTATCCACACAGCCGAGGACAGGCAGGAATGGTGCAAGATGATGGAGGAGAAAGTTATTAGAGGAGGCCACGACCCTCAGCACTAAGGATTATCGACGCAAGAAGGAAGGAAACTACGAAAAATAAATTAATATCATTTCGTATTATAGATAGATGGGTAATTTTTCATAGAATTTTAGTTTATAATTTCGAACTGGTTCAAATAAAAACCGCCGCCTAAGTCAGCGTTTTTATTATTTGTAATAATTAATATCTATACTAATATTATAAAGAGGAAAGATTTGTTTGTTTGTTTGTATTCAATAGGCTCCGAAACTACTAAACCGATTTGAAAAATTCTTTCACTGTTTGGAAGCTTCAGTATTCCCGAGTGACATAGGCTATAATCTTTTTTGAAAAAAATAGGTATCCTTACTAAAATTCCAATAATTTAACCCAAGGTGTAAAAAAAAATTACCTAAAATATTCTTTACGTCGCGTGCCCTACGAAAACTATTGATGATAGAATAAAATAATGTACTACGACTTTGTAAAAAGCATTATTATTTACAAAAAGTGTCGCAACAGCATATGTGTAACTATTATAGTTATGCCGCAATAACTATTCTTTTATTTAAAAAAATGTCCCTGGTAAGACACGGAGTGCCCCCCTACCTTCGCCGACTGGTGGCTTCCTACTTGGAGGACAGATCGGTCACGTGTAGTGGACACGGTGGGATCGTGCACAGGTTCCCGGTTGTGCGCGGTGTTCCACAGGGGTCGGTGCTCGGCCCCCCTTTGTGAAATATCGGTATACTGGGTACTGGGAGGTGCCCTCCTCCCGGGGCTAAGCGTAATCTGTTACGCAAACGACACGCTGGTCGTGTCCCGGGGGGGGGGGGGGGGGAGTTTTGCTGAGTTTGCTCGTCTTGCCACCGCTGGGGTGGCGCATGTCGTCGGCAAAATTAGGAGATTGGGCCTCGACGTGACACTCAGTAAATCCGACGCCATGTGGTTCCACAGGCCCCGCAGAGTGTCACCTGGCGATGCCCATATCGTGGTTGGAGGCGTCCGTATCGGGTCGGGGTGCAGTTGAAGTACCTCGGCCTCATTCTGGACAGTCGTTGGACCTTTCGTATTCACTTTCAGAACCTGGTCCCTCGTTTTTTGGGGGTAGCCGGCGCCTTAAGCCGGCTTCTTCCCAACATCGGGGGGCCTGACCAGGTGACACGCCGTCTCTATACGGGGGTGGTGCGGTCAATGGCCTTATACGAGGAGCCCGTGTGGGGCCAGTCACTGGCCGTGGGGGTAGCGATGTTGCTGTAATGGCCGCAACGCACCATCGCGATCAGGCAGGATCATCCGTGGTTATCGCACCATCTCTTTCGAGGGAGCGTGTGTACTGGCTGGGACGCCGCCTTGGGTCCTGGAGGCGGAGGCGCTCGCCGCTGACTATCAGTGGCGGGCTAACCTTCGTGCCCGGGGCGTGGCGCGTCCCAGCCCCAGTGTGGTCAGAGCGCGGAGGGCCAAATCTCGGCGATCCGTGCTGGAGTCATGGTCCAGGCCGCTGGCCGATCTTTCGGCTGGTCGTAGGACCGTCGAGGCGATTCGCCCGGTTCTTGTGAATTGGGTGAATCGTGACAGAGGACGCCTCACTTTCCGGCTCACGCAGGTACTCATTGGGCATGGTTGCTTCGGTGAGTTCCTGCACCGCATGGGAGGGGTGGCGGCGTGTCCTCGTCGCAAAAATAGGAAACGACTTGTCGTTGCCGAGTGTTCTGGCATCGATGCTCGGTGACGACGAGTCGTGGAAGGCGATGCTCGACTTCTGCGAGTACACCATCTCGCAAAAGGAGGCGGCGGGGCGCGTGAGAGATGCACAGGCCCGCCGCCGTCGAGCAGGGTCCAGGGAGGCGGATCTCGCCCAAGCCCTGGCCCTCTAAGTGTTTCGGGTCTCCCTCACATGTCGGCCTGGGGACCGGTGAAGGGGGCCTAAGAAGATAACGTGCAAGCTGCTCTGCACAGGTTTTACGCATGAGCATCCGGGTGATGGAAGGCCGGCTATCCTCAACCAACGCTGGTTCTGACCCAGCGGGGTATTCCGTAGGATAGATCATTCTAACCGGCGCCATCTAGGCGGGCTTCGGACAGCCTGCCGACCGAGAGGGCTGGTGGTCATGGCGCTGACGACCGCCAGTCCGGCGTCCCGAGGGGGAGGGTGATGGGAGAGATGTGCTCTGCACTAAACGCTTCACTTTCCCCCCTTTGCCTTTTCATAAGCTCTGTCTCATGCGAGGTTTGGATGCTGGTTGTTGAGCGACAGGAGGTTTCAGTCGGTTCGACTCCGACATACCCCACCGTCCATCCCCAGTGAAGGGCGGAAGCCCGGAGATATCCTCCCGACAAAAAAAAAAAAAACATGTGGCACTCGGGAACTGCGGCGGTAAAGCTATTGCATAGCATTTTTTATCAACTTATGACATTATAATTAGACAATGATAATTTAATATTAAAACAATAATAAAACAAGACCACGCTATATTAAGCCTTAATAAAGGCAAAACCTCAACTGTCCCCTTCACACTCATAAGCTAAGCCGCGCGAGAGAGAGATGGGAAGACTTTTCATGATGCGCATGCAGTGGGACGTCACCCCACGCGCTTATTCACAAACACTACACAAGCGCAACATGTGAATGTGTTGAACGCGAGCTACATGGTAGTGAGGGAGGTTAGGTTTTTTTCGTTACAGATTTTCATGATTCGGTCGCCACGCTCAAGGCCCGCGATAAAAGCTATGCAATAGCTTAAAAATGTATGAGCTTGTAATAAAATCTCTTTGGCTATACTATTTGTATCTGGCTGGTTTTGGTATCATTAAAAGTTTAAATTCGAAAGAAGACAATTCCAAATTAAAATTAGGAAGATGTGTGATTATTATTTATTTTTCGTACTGTCACGATGAGTGAATCTAATGAAGATATTCGATACATTTTAAAATTTTACTACAAATAAGGTAAAAATGCAACGCAAGCCGTGAAAAAAAATTGCGATGTTTATGGACCTAGTGCAGTGTCTGTGAGAGTAGCACAAATTTGGTTGAAGCGTTTTCTATCCGGAAATTTTGATGTCAAAAATGCACGTCCCTCTGGTCGCCCTATTACGGATAAAATCGATGCCATTTTTGAAAAAGTGGGGCAAGATCGGCATATCCGTAGTTACGACGTAACTGAAGAACTGGGAATTGACCACAAAATAGTTATGGCGCATTTGAAAAAAACTGGGTACACAAAAAAGCTCACTGAAAGAAACCTAATGAACCGTGTACTCATTTGTGATTCTTTATTACGACGTAATGAAACCGAACCATTTTTGAAGAAGCTGATAACTGGTGATGAAAAGTGGATCACGTACGACAAGAANGTAGTTACGACGTAACTGAAGAACTGGGAATTGACCACAAAATAGTTATGGCGCATTTGAAAAAAACTGGGTACACAAAAAAGCTCACTGAAAGAAACCTAATGAACCGTGTACTCATTTGTGATTCTTTATTACGACGTAATGAAACCGAACCATTTTTGAAGAAGCTGATAACTGGTGATGAAAAGTGGATCACGTACGACAAGAACATACGAGAAAGGTTGTGGTCAAAGGCCGGTCAGGCTTCACAGACTCTGGTGAAACCCGGGTTAACTCGCAACAAGGTGATGCTGTGTGTGTGGTGGGATTGGAAGGCATTATACATTATGAGCTGTTACCACCAGGCAGGACCATTGATTCTGAACTCTACTGCGAACAACTGATGAGATTAAAGCGAGAAGTTGAGAGAAAGCGGGCGGAATTAATCAACAGAAGGGGTGTGGTTTTTCATCACGATAACGCTAGACCTCACACATCTTTAGCCACTCAGCAAAAATTAAGAGAGCTTGGCTGGGAGGTGTTAATGCATCCGCCGTATAGTCCTGACCTTGCACCTTCAGATTTCTACCTGTTTCGGTCTCTTCAGAATTCTTTAGGCAGTGTCAGGTTAACATCACAAGAGGACTGCCAAAACCAATAGTCGCGGTATTTTGATCAGAAGCCCCAAAATTTCTATAGAAATGGGATCATGTCCCTACCTACAAGATGGCAAAAAGTTATCGAACCAAATGGTACCGACATACTTTAGTTAAATGTGAATAAACTGTATTAAAAAATGTTGTGAATTTTCTTAAAAAATGCGAAGAAACTTTTTCCCCAACCTATTATTATATAGAAATAAAAGAGTAAACAATGTTTACAATAAGTGAGCTGTTTAGGCTTACTATACTATTTGACATTGGACGGTAATGAGTAAATTTTAAAAAATAATAATCTAAAACAACTTTGAACAATAATTATATACGCATTTCCATTTTATATAAAAATTATGATTCTTACATCAGTAATTTCTTATAAAATGCTAGGAAAATGCTGTAAAATGCCCTTATGTTAAAAACAAGAAAGAAAGTAAAGAAAACCTCAATTTGTGTTAGTTTACGTGTGTGTAATATTTTAAAACTCATGGTAGATTTTTTTCTAATATTTAAAATAATTTCTGGTGCAATGTAATTAAGGTAAAATTGCTCTAATTTTTTAACTATCATCGATCATGTTCCGCAGAAACTTGTTACAACTTGATTGCGTACGGTGTGTGGGTTATCCTACGAAATCTATGTTAATTATTTTAAGTTTTTATAACATCATACAGGGTAGAAATATAAACTAATTATTCGTTATTGTGTACTAGGTGAGTTTTAATTTTAGTGAAATTTAAAATACTATAAATTAATGAAATTACAAATTTTACAGCGCCCCACATCAACGCCCCCCATTTTTTCCTGGACCCCTTAACGCCCCCCTCTAGGTTTCAAACGCCCCCAAGGGGGCGCTATCGCCCACTTTGAGAAAGACTGATCTAAACTGACATGCGTCTCCAGGACTGGCTGGGTCGGAGCACGGTGTCGTCGCACGTGCCGGCGCAGTGCCTGCTGAGGCGGCTCAGCGAGCTGGGGGCCAGCTCCCGCCTCATGGCCGCCTGCCTCGCCAAGCTGCCGAGCGCCGACGAACGACTCGCTCTGGCCCTAAATTACAAAGTCAGTACATCATTAACGCGGTTTAACACGTCCTTACGGATCCATCAGATCCAATAACCTTTGCATTAGACGCTTTCAGCTCTAACACTAGGAGCAGGCTTAGGGACCACGGTAACCGTACTCGTCGAACTCGACAAAGAGGTCGACGTACAACCTAACCCATGCAACAGCTCGCTGAGTTTCTCGCCAGATCTTCTCAGCGGGTCGCGGTTCTGATCCGGTAGTAGAATCATTCGCGAAGCAATTGCTCTTGAGTTGTTAGGTCTCCTTCGGAGGCGCTCGGGCAGTTGTTAGCAAACCCCACCCCTCCTGGCTGAGCCTTTGCTCGCCCACCTGTCCTGGTGAAACTGGAAAGGCCTTCGGGCCACCAGTAATTATTCAATCATAAAAAAAAAATAACGCGATTGTACCTATTCCGACTTGCATCGTCATGGACGAGCTCACATCCCACCTGGTGTTAAGTAGTCGCTGGAGCCCATAGACATCTACAACGTAAATGTCAAGTAACCACTTAATATCAGGTGACTGTGAGCTCGTCCACCCAAAAAATAAATAATTGTATTACCAAAAATAGGGGGTGTTTTATTTCATTAATTTTTTAATTAATAGCAAGCTTGTTAGATATAACAAAAGAAGTATTTGGTAGCAGTGTTTTTTTCCACAACTAGGTCCACTGCGTGGTGGTACAGACTTACGCGAAACAAAAGGACCGACTGGCCCTAACCAATTACAAGATGACGCTGAACCCTCAGAGCGAGGAGTACATACTCGCCGAGAATACGCTAAGGGATCCTGTAAGCATCCACTTTATTTAATTAATTGAAATTAATTAGGTTGTGAACTCGTCAACCCAGGTAAGAAAAAATAAATTACTCCCTAACCCTTCGACTACAGTGTAGGTCACCGGTGGACTGAACTATATAATGTTGATTTCTTTGATCTTCTTATTAAGACGCCGGAATAGCTAGTAGACTTTTTATTTATTTTTATTGCTTAGGTGGATGAACGAGCTCACAGCCCACCTGGTGTTCAGTGGTTACTGGAGCCCATAGACATTTATAGCGTAAATGCCGCCACGCACCTTGAGATATAAGTTCTAAGGTATCAGTATAGTTACAACGGCTGCCCCACCCTTCAAACCGAAATGCATTACTGCTTCACGGCAGAAATAGGCGGGGCGGTGGTACCTACCCGTGCGGACTCACAAGAGGCCCTACCACCAATAATTACGCAAATTATAATTTGTTTTAATTATGATTAATTTATTATTTAATTCTTTGTTTCAGTCAATCAAATGGAAAAATTAGTACCAAAAATCGCCTTTCTTAATCAATATTAATGTTATATCGATTTTAAAAATTAAAACTGCAGTGGGAGGTCCCCTAAACGAGTGCAGTAGAATGGTCTCGAGCAGGGAGAGATGGCGCGACATCGTGAGACGCATCAAGTCTGCCCCTTCCAACACTACATGACGATCACGACCACTCTGTCAAGAGTGACACGACTGAGAAGAAGATCGATTTTAATATAAAGAATAAATGTATGCGCATTGAAGTACAGTTAGAGAAATAAGGGAGTACTAGATTTCTTTAGGACTACAGGGAATAGACAGGACCAGCTCGCGCTAAACGTAAATAACGATACATTTTAGAGCTTAACACAAAGAAATAAAGTAAAAAATCATTTAAATAAAGCTTACGATACGACCAGTGTTTTATTTGTAATAAAATACTTACCTATTTCTAAAATAAAACATGTGTGCAATTCACATGTGGTAGAAGTGTAACCTTCAAAAATTAAAATACAATTATCCTAAATGTCTAAGTATATGTAAAATTTTGTCATTAGTAAATAATTGTAAATCATCTTTTATAGTATGAGATAGCGCCCTCTGTGAATTGATATTTTAACTTCACGTATAATCCGAAATTAAAATTCATTACAAGAGGTTTCATACACACGTTAGTATTAAAAAATGTCATAGATGGCGCTGTATTAAAAAAACTACACTGAAAACGTCTAATGTGTTCTATCTCATTCTCTCGCCGGCTGAATCCTATACATTTATGTGTTTGTGTCTCTATGGACTTATTTTTTCGTTTCATCGAATTTGAAATCGCAACGATTCTAAAGAAGTTTCACTTCAAAAATAATATTGAGTGTAAAACTTCATTAAGTCTTTATCGAGCGATGCGAGTTTGACGTTGTTCAAATCCCGTTGCCAAAATACAGTCATCAATTTTTTTAAGGAAATAAATCTTCTAACACTTTCTCACGAACTTGCAGTAAGATGGTTTGGCGGGTAGCCATCATTGAATACAATTTGTGTAGAGATATACGACCAAGGGAAGATCTTCCACCGAACGGGTGATATTGCTCATTAGACCGAAGGTCCGAATGTTGTTCGGAACATGATAAATGCAAGCTTATTTTGAAAATGTCTAACGCTCTTGATAGCGTGGTCGTAGTCATCACTTTAGGCGTCGGTGGCAAGCTTAAAAGCAAGCCGCCACTCCTCTCTCGAGCTCACTGCGATGAGCATAGATTTGTTTTAGGATTTGTTCATAATAATAATTATGAAAACACGAAGCAAGATTCAATCTATTGTGGGTAACCACACAGTGTAAGTTGTAACCGGTCGTTTATACCTACGCTATAAAGGTGTAATTAAATAACAGTTTTGTTTCTTGTGTGATTCATAGAATGACTACCGACTGGAAATGATTCAAGATTGACGTCACAATGACTCATTGTTCGTTTGCGCGGAAATTGTATCGTGTGAAGCTAATTAGTGTTATATTTAATTAAGAAATATATAACCAATTTAAATAATATGTAGGCTCAAACAATAGCAGTTTTGTTTAGACTAGGCAGGTATATAGAGTAATCCGCTAGCCCAATAGTTACCACCCTCGATAGCCGAGCCTTATGTAGGTCTTAAATTCCCGCATTACCCGGAGACTATCGTATAATGAACAGGTTTGCTTACTTGCTTCCTTGCTTGCTACTTGGGTGTATACATAATGTAGGTATATGTTTATGTTTCAAAATAATATAGGTACTTATCTATATCAATCCCTTAGTAATTGTACAGGGAATCTTAGTTTGGGGCCAGATAACAGTGTGATTTAGGTATCCACGGTTGTTTTTTTAATTGAATGTTATTCATTAAATATTGATCATAAGCCGTTGTCGCAAATTTGAAAGCTTTTAAAAATTATGTCATCCTCGAAATTCTTTATTCCCAAAGCGATAGTTTAGAAAAAAAAACAAAGTAGGTACGTACGTAATTTTTGGTACATACAGAAAAGAATGTCACTATCAAACTTGTATTTATTATGACTGATCCAATAATTAACGAATCTATTCTGACCTTGCTTCAATTTTGTAAATATTTTTTTATAATTTTTGTCATTTCTGTAAAGAAAACAATCACGAGACAAGATAAACAGAACAATTCGTTTCTTATATCCTTTTATTACTAACTTCTAGATTTCTTAAACAGGTATTCTTAAATTAAATCTTTAGATTAATCTCCGTCCTGGCAACAGCAACCCTCGTCCACTTCGACCCCGCACATTTTTAATAAAAACACGCACATGGTAACGCAGAACAAACACCTAAGGATCTTCCCACACGATCCACAATCGCAGGTGCAACAGCAACACATATTTACAATAGTAAAGTTTCAAGTATCAAAACTTATCAAACCACGTATTGTTGAGTGCAAAAACTGTCAAACTAACTGCTGTGTTAGTATGAAAGTTTTTTAATTAGTGTATCTTCGGAACGAAGGTATCACAATTATTTTCACAGCACAATGATATGGCTAAACTATAAAATTATTTTTCGCCAACGCTGTCTTTAATATTGGTGTATAATTTTTAATTGTTCGTTAATACAGCCGTAGCACTCAAACTAGGTAAAACCTTCGACTGTTTTGACCAAGGAAATACGAAACGCTTCGTTCGTCATAGATCAATGAGTCTGTAGAGGTCATTTGACACCTGTAAGTAGTATTACCTATACAATAAAGTTAAAATAAAACCGGCTCGACCTTAACAAATCGGCAGGGAAAAATACACTTTATTAAAATACGATAGAGACTTTAATTATACAACTTAATGTTACCTTAACCCTTAACACCAGGTGAGCTATGAATTTATCAGTCACTAGCGGCCCGCTCCGGCTCCGCTCGGGTCTTTAACAAAAAAATTCAACGATATTTGACGTTGTTTTATTTAAAAAAATAAAAGAACACTTATTGCGGCATGACTATAATAGTTAGACATATGCTGTCGTGAGTCTTTGTAAATAATAATGTATTCTACCCAAGTCGTAGTGCATTATTTTATTCTATCATCAATAGTTTTCGCAGGGCACGCGATGTAAAGAATATTTTAGGTAATTTTTTTACATCTTAGGTTACATTATTGGAGTTTTAGTAAGGATCCATAATTTGTATCAAAAAAGATTTATAGCCTATGTCACTCGGGAATAGTGTAGCTTCCAAGCAGTGAAATAATTTTTCAAATCGGTTCAGTAGTTTCGGAGCCTATTCAATACAAACAAACAAACAAATCTTTCCTCTTTATAATATTAGTATAGATTTACGATAAAGCCGGATAGTCAAAGTGCCCCGTCTAGGGAATCATCTGTGAATTTATGATAACATATCATAAAATTCGAAGTAAATGAGATTAGTTATCATTCTATGAGTATATAAAAGGAAGATAAGAAAATTTAATGATAAGATAGCGGATTCATTTATGGGATTGTCTGATTTGTTAAAGGCGTTAGTTACAATATGAACGAAACCAGCTCACTCAGTTTCTCGCCGGATCTTCTTAATAGGTCGCGATCTGATGGTTGATTCAGCGAAGCACTACTCTTACTGAGGCAGATGTTAAGGAAACTCTCAGACTGAGCCCTGTGAACATCGCCTATCAAAAGAGGTGAAGCCAGAATATACCCTCGTGGCTGCTAGCCGATAGGTGAGCGAAAAAATAAACCGGAAAGTAATGATTGACTGACTTTTTTTTTTTCTTCCTACCTAAACTGATAGCCTTGAGAGGCTATTTCAGCGTAAAATTAACTAGTAGGTGAGCTCACGGGGCTCAAACGTGACGACGCTGCTAACACGAACCCCAGCAAGAGCCGTGCTTCGCAGAATCTACCACCGGATTGGAAACGCGACCCACTTAGAAGATCCGACGAGAAACTCCGTGGGCTGTGTCTGTGGGTTAATTTACTCGTCGATTCCTTCGTCGCAAGCGACGGGTTCGACGAGAACGATGCCCGGTGCTTGAGGTACCTAAAAGCACCGTTAGTAGATCCGAAGGATCCGAGATACTCGACGAGACCGGCAATACTGGTATATACTGGTGGTAGGGCCTCTTGTGAGTCCGCACAGGTAGGCACCACCACCCTGCCTATTTCTGCCGTGACTCAGTTATGCGTTTCAGTTTGAAGGGTGGGGCAGCCGTTGTAACTATACTTGAGACCTTAGAACTTATATTTCAAGGTGGGTGGCGCATTTACGTCATAGACGTCTAAGGGCTCCAGTAACCTCTTAACACCAGGTGGGCTGTGAGCTCGTCCACCCATCAAAGCAATGAAAAAAAAAACGTAAATTTTCGTTTTGTTTAATTGTTTTAAAGGTAATCTTGTTTCACACTCGTTGTTAGGATAGCTTCAGTTATCTTCATTATCCTCGCACAGTTCAACGCAACCACACAATTCACACAGCATCGTGCACAATGTTATACAACAAATACACTTGATGCACCGGCAACAAAAGTCACTACAGAGACAGCAACACATTTCTTCACACGCGTGCTTAACCTATCAATCCATTTGCTTCTTCATTCTTTCGCATGTCCAACAACGTGCGTGCTATTTTCTTTCGTCAATTAAACATCTAAAAATTTATTTTATTAACATTTTTGTTACGACATTTGTACGTGTAAGTTCCTATGAGAAAAAATATTCAAAACAATCTTGATATAAATTTTTTGGTTTTGACAGATAAATTTTGGTTAGAAAATTTGAAAGAAGAAATATTGTTGACATATTAAAAATTAGACATAATATATTATTAAATTAGTTACTTTTTGTTGTGAATAGAAGACGATTAGGTAGATGTCGTTGGCTTGCCTTAAAAAGTTAAATGGTTAGGTATTTTAGTATATGTCATTAAATTAATAGAATAGAGAAACTTAAGAAATTTAATCTCAATCAAAATGAGGATTATCCAATATCCGACCCTTTTAATAAGTTTACTTCCGAAAAGAGATAGGAAGGATATTAA